GCGATCGGCCGTTATTTACCGGCCACGTATCGGTGCCGTTAGCGTCGCCATTGGCTGCCTTTGAGGGGCCGGCCCTACCCCTCAACTTCCGGGTTTGCTTTCGGGCGCTAACGGCTCCGTTTTCGTCACTTTCGCACGCATTCAGGCGTCCCTTTCCCACCGATTTGACGGCCTGTTTGTCGCCGCCGATCGACTCGTCGACAACCTCTTCCTCTTCATCCTCTGCCGCCACCTCCTGCTCATCGTCGTCAATGGCAGCGCCGGCACTGTCCGCCCAGTTATCCATATCAAACTCATGGAGACCCTTAACCTGTAGCTCAGCGCCGTTAGCCAACAACGACTGGAGCTGCCGGCGCGGTATGCATACCTCTCCCCAGTATATAAACTCAACAATAGCCTTAAGATCGGCGAATGGCATGCCCTTAATCACGACAATGGGATAGTGGACGGGCCTGTGGTGGGTGTCGGCGAACAGGCGCCTGAAATATGGTGAACAGGCGGCCAACACGAGCTGGTGGGCCCTCAGCTGCTGACCCTCGGCCGATAGGGTCACGTCTACCAGCGCCTCATTGGCGTACAGTTGGGCTAAGGCGCCGGTCAGGAACCGCTGGTGATTGTTTAGCTTCAGGCAAAACGCGTGAGACGTGTCCGACGACATACCCGGCCGCTGCTATGAGTGCAATACCCGTGCGATTGACAAATATTTCCGTATATATTATTCGGTATATATGTGGCGAACACAGAATTATCACTAATTTATTGGTTTTTTATTTGGATTTTATTTGTTTAGGTTTTGTTTTTATATATACTTTTAATTATCGACTCAACGGTATTGATATGCTTCTACAGAATAGTTGCAAATCTGCTGTAATTAATAGCTTTTTACAGGATATTAAACATTAGCGTACAGTGTATTGGCATTGAGAAAAATAGATATATATATATATATATAACTTATAGATACTTATTTATATTTAATGTTATATAACCGTTGTAGATAGTAAGAAATTTTGTTTCATTTTTAAAAATAACCGTGTGTATATACACTGTGTATATTTTTTGTTAATGTCGTAAAACAAACAGCCCGGTCGAGTAGTTTCATGTCATAATTATAGATGAGATAATTATGTCATAATTTATTAATTATTATGTGGAGATTACCCCGGAAAGAATTTCTCTATTTATTTGTTTTTGAACAGTTTTTGTGTTTATTTTTGTATTTTTAAACTAAACTTTTTTTTATAAGAAATTTCATATAAAATGCGATTTTTATTAGTTTTGTTTCGTATTTATAATTAATTAGTTGAGTAGCCGTCGAGTTTAGGGAATCTCTCTCTCTCTCTCTCTCTCCTTGTAATTAATTTCTAATAAAAAAAATTTCGTATAAAAAGTAATCTCTCTTTAAAACAAACTTTAAGCAAATTTATAGCCGAAAAAAAACTAAAAACAATAAAATCTAAACTAATTATTAAAATGCGTTTCTCTTTGCCCAACCATTAAGTGTTTGTTGAGTTTTGCTAAACCATAAATATTATTAAAATAATATATACATTTTAAATATTATAAATAAAAGAAACAAATAAATAATAAATTTGAATAGATTGTTACTTCACCAAAATCATTATTATGCATAAGTTATAACACAAAACACAACTCACGGCTTAAGTAATTGTAACCATGAATTCATGTGAAACCATACAAAAACACATTTCATACGAGTTTTACTAAATTTTTTTGCCGTTACTTTTATTTCAATATTTTTTGGCAAAAACTCATATCACATTCGCCGATATGTATGGTCTGAAAGCATTTAAAATATATTTATAAATCGAGTTATAAAGTATAGTTCACTACAACACGAATGCATGACTGATGGCCAGACATGGCATAGGAGTTCACAGCAAAACATAACTTCATTTGTTTGTTACGATCGCTTCATATGTTGTCGTCTTTCTTATTGTCTAATTGTTTTCCAAAGGCTTAGGGTTTAGGCTCTACTGACTCGTGTGAGCACCTGTACGGTAGTTATGATATATATATATATATATGAGAGAGAAAACAATAATATTGTCACAAACGATATGCTAAATGTCATGAGAGAGAGAGAGAGAGAGAGAGAGAGAGATTTAAATTCCAAACTAATATTTACATTAATTTAATGTCATTAATTGCAAACACAAAAATAAATATATTTGCCATAAATTAACATTCAATTAAATATGATATATAGAAAATATACAATTTTTGTTAAGCAAGTAAAAGTAGTAGATTTTGTGTTTTTACTTTTTTATTATAATACTATTAAGAGTTATTTAAATAAAACAGTAATCAATCATCTCGTCAATAGTGTTTTTATAATTAGACTCTCTCTCTCTCTCTCCCTCTCTCTCTCTCTCTTCTCTAAGCGAGAAGTTTTCCGACACCAGAATCACATCATTAATAATCACAACGAGTAGTGAAAAGCATTCAAAATGTTTGAACAGAAAAACTTAATGATAGTTAAAAATTATCCCTTTTTTCAATCACTTAAATCTTAGTCCTATTATTTAATAGATTACTAAAAATGTGAATATATTCTGAATACAAATATTTGTAATCAGTCAATAACCTGTGTTTTTTCTGTCCCAATAATTAGCTGGAGTAGTTGTGTTTCGGACATTCATTTATATAAGTTATAAAATAAATAAATTAAATTTTGTTTATTGAGATTAATAGCTGTAAATAAAAACAATTTAAAGAATTATTGTAAA